AAAATATTTCATATTAATCTCGAAATAATAAGCCTTGATTTTAAGGTTTAGCGGTGTTTGTGATTCTCCTAAAACGGCGAATGGCGAACGCCAAAAACAAAAAAAAAAATGGGATAATGCGACTTGATGATCGGAATTCTTTTATTTCCCGCGTATCTTCATTATTCTGCTGTAAATATTAGAACTACCAGACAATTCACAACGAAACGAAGAAATGTCAGATGCTGATAATACTAGAAGGCGTTTTTTTTTTTTTTAAATTGCGATAAATGTGATCAGCTCTCAAAAAAAGTCACGATATGCAAGCAGGATATCTGACTGCATTATGTAAAATTAAAATAATACTATTTCTAAAAAAGAACAGTGATCAACTGTCATAAAAATAAATAATGACACAAAATATGTAGGATATTTAATTATATGGCAGCACATTTGTCTCATATTTATTTGTCTGACATTTGTCTGACATTTTACCCTCAGGCCCCAGGTGAATGAAAATGGAAAAACGTTTGTGACAGGTTATACCAGAATTAAATAAAACTTGATGTTTTGTTAAAGGTAGGCATACACGGTTCTGATTGTGACGGAATTCTAACATAAGTTTAGCATACTTAGCAACATCTATATTTAACTTGGCGGTTATTGAGAAAGGCCATAGATATTAAGTACATGATGACACAGTGATACAGGGATAGGAATGCGTCTAACATGATTTCCTATGGTTATTGATTTAATTCAGGACACTCTTTTTCTACTGCTGATGGCGTGCACGTAAAAGATCCCTTGGCAGTTGGAATTCGATATAAGAGTAGGCCGTAGTGCCGCTGTCCGGGCAAAATTTCCCTCATAGCACACTGTATGGCGTATGCCCGTCTTCATTAGCCCAGGTTAGGAGCAGAACAGTAGGACGTTAAACCCCATTTCATTTACTACTGCTGATGGTATCATGGTTTACACTATACATTGACAGTAAATCATGTCTAGTCGTTCGTATAGGATGGAAAACTAAGGGTCTGTTGGCATGCACGTAAAAGAATTCTTGGCCTTCAAAATAAGCATTGGCTGTGGAGCTGCTGTCTGGGCAAACATTTCATTTCAAATTTCTACATTTCAGGTAGCATTGTAATTATTATAGAAACTACAAGCCAACAGATGTTTGAAACGAAGCTTATTTTAAAATAAAGAGTGCAATAGATATCAAGACAAAGTTTGGATTGGCAGCAAATTCATTTCTCATAGACTATCAAGAACCAATTGTCGGTCCGCGAATCGGAACAAAATAATTAATTTTATTTTTTAATAATAATAATAAATTTGAAATACGAAAAGTTGTGGATTTGAAATCTTGTATGTCTACATGTATTTATATTTGCAATATAATGAAGACCCACAACAATATAATAAAGAAGCACAACATTCAAAAACATTACTATGCTGATCTATCATTATAGTGGCAACTGTGTGAAGCTAAAGTTTTTGTGACCTCGAAAAATTGCCCAGGAAAATAGACAATAGTTGCATTCACATTAATAATAAGTCCATTTATATCGCGCTAATTCCACATATAGTCGTGCTCATAGCGCTACAAAACACACAATCACTCTTGCAAATATTTCTTAAATAAACCTTAAATTTGTATAGATGTTTATGGCCAGACATAATACATCGCTAAAATAACGGATGACATATTTTCATTTACTGTGTACATGTTTAGTTTCTATTGCCAATGTAATGTAATTAATAAATTTATGTAGCCCAGTATGACAGTATGACATATTCAACAATTAAACAACGAATTTATGTAGCTATAGCCCAATATGTTTCTTGTAACAGTATGGTAATAATATCATACATTTGTGAGTGTATGTTTAAAATTAAACGGGATCTGGGGCTCCGCTTCATAAAGCATACATAAAGCTATGTACACATAAATTCAACAGAGTTGTATTGCAAAGTATTCAATTTACATGTAAATAAGTCTTACCCACATTTGAAGGCTAACAGAAATGTACTTTAAATTAAAGAAGAATTCACAGAGGGTCACAAGGGAGGGTGCAAGTCAAATTCAAATCAAAATTTGGAGGGGAGGGGAGCGGGTGGATGGCCGAATGGTTAGCCGAATTGAGTCAACTGGCGTGGTTTCGATTCCCTGGTTGTACGTGAAAAGGGAGTAGGCTCGCCTGTCCAACGTCCTGGTTTTTCTCTGCCCCCCCCCCCCGGTTTCCTTCCTCTGCTAAAGACCCCCATTGAACTATGTATTAGTCCCGAAATAACCTAGTTTGTGTCGAGTGGACGTTACCCCCCCCCCCCCCTCTTTCTCTCAAATCTAATACATTTTACAGTTTACGAGAGCTGTGTATAATATGGATAGAAATTGACCCAAATATCGGGTTCCTTTCATTGAGTGAGAAGAATTTATGATTAGATAGAAGTCTCTATAGATAGTCTCCCAATATTCATTTATAGAAATAATTCACAATAATCCAATGATTTCATTTAATATATTAGTTGAAATTATTTCAAAACAAAGAAATGTGTCACTAAAAGTGGTTAATGTACGGGGATTCCATTTCTTCACAAGAAATATGCGTTTCAAAGTCATTCAGGCACACACATACATGTAACAAGCGCCTGTCCAACCTCGTGGGTTTTCTCCGGGTCCTCCGGTTTCCTCTCACTGCTAAAGACCCCTACACGCAAGCGAATTATCTAAATAAAATTAAACCATATGTTAGTCCCGCAATGACCTAGTTTGTGTCGAGTGGACGTTAGACCCTATTTCTCTCTCTCTCTCTCTCACATGTAACAAGCCTGCCTATCGTTTAATGCAAACAACCGCCAGGGATGAATCAATCAGTCAGTGTAGGTAATTTGCCGAAAATTTCAGTCAAATTGATCCACTATAAGCCGAGAAAGAAGCGGGTGAAATTTTTGCATAGTCTCGGTCATCATTACTAAAATCATTAATATAAACAGCATAGTCTCGATTATCAACTTTTTTAAAATTTAATTATCAATGTCCGTTAGCGGCATATAGGAATCTAATCCAGTCAACATCGAAGGATAGCCTTGACATCGAGAGTTTATTATGGTCTGGATAATTTAGATAACATTTCAGGCCTAAAGAGAGACTTGTAATAAGCAGATTTTGCTCTTGCATAATGCATGTTTAAGAATTATATTTCATTGTCCTTCCGTGTTAGCAATTTATTATCGGTTTTAAATGACAAATGAAATGAAATGAAATGGGATTTAACGTCCTAGTGCTCTGCTCCGACTGGGCTAATGAAGATGGACTTACGCCTTATAGTGTGCTACGAGAGCAATTTTGCCAAGGGATCTTTTATGTGCACGCCAATGTATACACGGTACCCCGGTTTTTCGTTTTATACAAACGAGTAGACCTCCGTCCTGCACCAATGACAAGTGGAAACCACGTCAGAAAATCCTGATCAACTTTCTCGGCCAATGCAGGGATCGTTAAACAATGGCGTCATGTTACTTAAAACGACCCTTTGATCATTTGGAAATGAGAGCCATGGCGGCTAAGCAGGTATGACGGTGGCTCGCTAGCCTGGAGGTCGCGTGTTCGATCTATAATTACACTACCCTAGTTTCAGATTTTTAGGCGCTCAACTACCGGGTTCTATCGGCTCGAAAATGCTAGTCAATTTTCGAAAATTTGTGCCTGATACCATAATCGAGGCCAATTTTCTGGGAATCTAGTGAAGATTGATGTGTTTTCATGTTTCGTATGAATTACTACCGGCAATCTCTGGTTAGGCCAAAATATGGTTCTTTATCTATTATTTTGTAGCCAAATTTTTGGCGGTTTTCATGGCCAAGTAGCATGCGAACTCTACCACTTACCTGTAATCTGAGTGTAGATTACATGTTCACTACAACTGAGCTGTATACCTTCACTAGAAAGGTAAAATAAGATATCTGAAACTCGAGTAAATTATTGATACATATTCTGTTTTGAAAACTTATCGATAACTCATACAACTCAAATGCCCGTATTTCAATTTTATGCTACAGACCACAAATTTCGCACAGTTTCTAGTTTTTACATGTACAATAACATATTTTTCCAGATTTTTTCGAGGGGAGGCAATTTCCCACTTGACATGGAATGAACCTTAAGCTTCAAGGAAACAACGAGACTGGTATAGACGAAGTAGAACTTGTTATTAACAGCTCTGAATCAAATAAATGAATGAATTGGTACTACATACATCCAGACAAATAAAGACGAAGATGCTATGATGGACATTTTATCAGGACAACAATCAGATTACACCTGTCATGGTGAACACTGGACCTCTGATTTTAGTCCCATCCAAACGACTAGATATTGTTCCTTTCCAGGCTCTCCGTCCGGCAATACCGACATTCTGGTTAGTGTGGCAGCGTGTTTACCTCTTTGAATGGATTATAGTTGGTGTATATATCAGCTTATTCTCATTTGATCCGACATTTTACTATATTACACCATCAAGACAGACACATCTTGACATATTATTCATGTCGTTGTTGTCAGCTTTCCGTTCAACACCCACAATTCAAGTGAGATCGACACGACATTTGGCATACTTGTTCATTGGACCATCGCTTACCAAAATGACGTCACAATGTCAAGATGGCGTCATTGGACGTAAGCAGATTTATTTGTCTTCAATACTAACACCACCCATCAAAATACCCCAAATTAAGAATTGGTTGGATTTGTTATTTTTGTGTAAAATGATTAATGTAATATATATAATACAAATATTTAATATGTCTCTATTTTATGCACCATAATATCATACAAATTATATCATTACTTTATACAGTAATCACCCACAACACAGAGTTAAATGGAATGAGGTCCAGATACTAACCGCCAACCAACAGAACAAGAAAACCAGGAAGATCCTAGAAGCTATAAATATCAGAAGACATTTACCTGAACTCAATAGGGACTTAGGGCTCTACATCCCCAGGGCACATGATGATGTAATTAAGATGCACAACATAATTTAACTATTAAGCCATCTTTGGTTGTACTAAAATCCCCGCCCCCACCCCATCTCATTAATAAATTTTCGATATTATAGATTCTCCCAACATGTCCCTTATATTTTTAGAGGATTTTTGTTCTTGTTTTCTTAGTACAAATTGTGTATTGTTATAGTTGTACTTATATAATGCAATCTCATTTAACTTCATGCACATGGCCTCACTACCTGTGCTTTATCAACTTCCCACTATCCATACATGCTACCCTTTTGAAGGGCTTCATAACTGTTAATAACCCTCTAATCATGCAGTATCAGTGCTTATTAGTAGCTAATTACCTTGTTATGTTTGTTGTTATTGTTAAATATCCTTTACACCTTGATTATTTCTATTACTGTTATTCTTAATCCATGCAGATGGTTTCTTATTAATTTCATATATATTGTCCACAAGTTTACTAAATTGTCATTTGTGCTTGATAACGATAAGAGGATACTTGTCGAAACGTCGTGCTTTTAGAATAAACTAGTGATTGTATCCCATAAAAACTGTGTTCTGTTAATTTGTTCCCTGATCGCTAAATGCCACTTAAAGAATATGTTCAACGTCAATATGGGGATGTGGCAACTAAGTGTGTTCGCCAGATTAGTAAACTTGAAGATAAATATATAAGAGTGTGTAATAACTTAACCTTTCTCATGAGATGTAGAGACAGTGAAATTGTGCCACATGGATTAAAACTTAAGGGTCCAGTTAACTCCAATGCTGCAAATAAGATCTTACTTCAAGCTAGTAAATCCCTAGTACGTGAACGCATTCAACATCACCGGAATACTAAGCACCGACTTCTGCAAGATATTGGAGCATCACATCTGACACTTAATCATCTAGTTACTACAGAGGATTTTAATTCCATCCGCAAGGCTCAGACTTCCACCAACCAAGCCAGCGAAGAAAGAATTAAACACCGACACCTCAAAAAGTTTGAACAACTAAAGAAAGATAATGTAACAACCAAGAAAACAGATACAACTATGCTAAAGACTGACTTCCTTACTAAAACAGTTGTCAACCTCAGCAGCAAAGATCTAACCAATGACCAAATCAGTTTACTTTCTAAGGGCCTGAAGTTTGCCCCATCCTGGACACCAAGAAATCATGATGTTTTTATCGCCAACATTGAGAAAGGTCTATGCCAACTAGCACCAGGGGGAAAAGTTGATTTCCTTCGCCACCAGATAGCCAACCTAATTATTAAATCCACCACAAAGAAGAACTCCCACAACATTACCAAAGGTGAGACCAAAGCTATACAAGAACTAAAAAACGACAAGTCTATAACGATAATACCAGCCGACAAAGGTAAATCAACTGTGGTCATGAACACCGACGAATACAATTCAACCGTCAACCAACTGCTCAATGATGCCACAACCTACAGAAAAATCAGGAAAAATCCAACAACAACATTAGAAAAACAACTAAATGATAAGCTTAAAGAATTATGTGACTCCCAACAACTAACCAAAGATCTTTCTTACCAGTTAAAACCAAACCACCCACGTCCTCCTTACGCCCGAGCCACCATCAAGACCCACAAAAACCCGATCAAGGCCAGGTTATTAGTCTGTTCAAGAGATTCAGTTTTTTACAACGTTGCTAAACACATGTCTAAGCTACTTGCTCCATTAGGAACTTCATCTACGTCCTTCATCAAAGACTCTGGTGGTTTTTGCAACACTATTAGAGACCTAAACCGCCCTGGGAAGATTGTGTCGTACGATGTGGTTGATCTTTTTACCAACGTTCCTCGTCAAGAAGCTATTGAAGTCCTCCGCACTCGATTAAATGAATTAGAAGCACCCCTAGAAACTAAGTTGTCAACCGATAGTATCCTTGATTTAGTTACTATGTGCCTTGATTCGACATTCTTCACCTGGGGTGACGACATATACAAGCAAGTCAACGGTTTGCCCATGGGTAGTCCCCTATCACCCTTAATCTCTGAAATCTTCATGACTGAATTTGAAAACTGTGCCCTAAGAACCTCTCCCATCACTCCAATCATTTGGCTTCGCAAGGTCGATGATACGTTTGTTGTGCTTGATGAAAATGATGAACCTATGTCCCTGCTTGAACACCTGAACAAACAGCATCCTAGAATTAAATTCACTATCGAAACAGAAAAAGAAAATACCCTACCATTCTTAGATGTACAAGTTATAAAAGTCAATAATCAAATGAAAACTAAAATATACCGCAAACCGACCCACACAGACCAATATATCAATTACAACTCCAGTCATCCCCATTATATCAAAAGAGCCCTTATTTCCACCCTAGCACGCAGAGCAATCAACATTTGTGAACCCGAATTCCTGCAGAATGAATTGGACCATTTACGCCACGTGTTTTGTAACCTGAATAATTATCCCCCGTTACTAGTGAAAAAGCAGATCAATGAAACTATCAAAACCACCAGTAAAGATTATCAAAAACCTGAAAAATCACCCATCAGAATAACCTTGCCCTTTTATGGTAATTTAACATACAGAGTGAGCAACCTACTAAAGAAATCAAACATTGACACCACATTTTCGGTCCCGACCACCCTGAAACAGATATTGAAAGCCAACGGCAAGTTGCAACCAATTCTCCCCACCCAACCCAAAGGAGTCGTCTATCAAGTGGTTTGTTCCTGCAAGGCTACATATATCGAGGAAACGAAACGACCCATTGACAAAAGGATAACGGAACATAAGTCCAAAGCCGCTACTAATAACTCAGCCATAGCGGAACATCTCCAGAATCACCCACAACACAGAGTTAAATGGAATGAGGTCCAGATACTAACCGCCAACCAACAGAACAAGAAAACCAGGAAGATCCTAGAAGCTATAAATATCAGAAGACATTTACCTGAACTCAATAGGGACTTAGGGCTCTACATCCCCAGGGCATATGATGATGTAATTAAGATGCACAACATAATTTAACTATTAAGCCATCTTTGGTTGTACTAAAATCCCCGCCCCCACCCCATCTCATTAATAAATTTTCGATATTATAGATTCTCCCAACATGTCCCTTATATTTTTAGAGGATTTTTGTTCTTGTTTTCTTAGTACAAATTGTGTATTGTTATAGTTGTACTTATATAATGCAATCTCATTTAACTTCATGCACATGGCCTCACTACCTGTGCTTTATCAACTTCCCACTATCCATACATGCTACCCTTTTGAAGGGCTTCATAACTGTTAATAACCCTCTAATCATGCAGTATCAGTGCTTATTAGTAGCTAATTACCTTGTTATGTTTGTTGTTATTGTTAAATATCCTTTACACCTTGATTATTTCTATTACTGTTATTCTTAATCCATGCAGATGGTTTCTTATTAATTTCATATATATTGTCCACAAGTTTACTAAATTGTCATTTGTGCTTGATAACGATAAGAGGATACTTGTCGAAACGTCGTGCTTTTAGAATAAACTAGTGATTGTATCCCATAAAAACTGTGTTCTGTTAATTAGTATAATATGTGTAAGTTAAATGTTTAATATTGTTTTATAGTTAGTATATGTAGATAGAATTCAATGTTTAAGTTAAATGTTTAATATTGTTTTATAGTTAGTATATATAGATAGAATTCAATGTTCAAGTTAAATGTTTAATATTGTTTTATAGTTAGTATATATGATTTAATAATAAAATAATAATAGGAATGTCATTCATAGAGTGCTAGTCCACAAAGAGTATGCTCATAGCGCTTGTGATTCAGTTCTGTACAATAAAAGTTCAATACCAAGGGAAAACTAAACATAACGTTTAAATAAATATGTCTTCAATAAGGTTTTGAATGTCGATAAGGGAGGCCATTTTTTCAGGTGGATAGGAAGATTGTTCCAGTATACTGCAGCAGTGTATTTAAAAGATGTAATTATTTTATACATCATCAACAGACTAGTATTACCACCAGTCGACTGTATCGCTATATTTTAAATTCAAGTCTATTAATGGAAGATGTTTGTTGTGTTTTTTGGTAGTCGTACTTGTCCTGTCCATCATCACTGTAGATAGAATCACTATAACCATCATACTCTCTACCATACTTCTTTCTATACTCCTCCTGTATCATCTTCTCTAATTCATCTACTGTTTTATTTCTACTTATACTTATAGTCATAGCGAAAACAGACTACTGTAAATACAGGTAAATATATATTATAATACTTATATCATACAAACCACTGTTAATAATTATATCATCCCCAACAACTGCATATACAGGTAAATATATATTATAATAGTTATACCACAACTACTGTATATACAGGTAAATAACTAAAACATGTGGTATCCAAGAAAGGGATAAAATAAAATAAAATGGACGTTGAAATAGTGAGGCCTGTTTTCCATGTACGCGTTTTCCGGCGAAACAGTGGGTCTAATGCATGTGGACCGTTTCCAAATAATCGGCGAAGTTGCGTACATGTAATACGAGTTTTACAGTGTTCAATTCTGATAAACATCTACTTGGACCATATTGAAATAACAGTCACCAGATGGGATAAATACGATGTGTGTGAAAACTGCTAACTGTTCTATTTATTCTAAATACATGTACCCGCGTTTATATTAGTGACGTCATCTCTATTTGTCCGAGAATAGTTCCTTTCATAGGACACTGTCGTATGTCCGTTTTTATAAGTCTGGGAGGTGAACCTTGACAGAAATAATAGACATGCCAAATCTCACCATTGCCCTAACCAACATATTGATAAAAATGACGAAATGCCAGCCCAGTTTCAATTATTATTCCTATTCCTAAGGGGTGGGGGTGGTGGAGTCTAATGGTTTCACGGGTGATTGAAATAACATAAGGTCTGTCACTGAGTCAAATGGCGAGGTTTCGATTCTACATTTATACATGACAAGAAGTAGGGTCGCCTGTCCAACCGTATCGATATTACCCGGGTTCTCCGGTTTCCTTCAACTGCTAAAGACCCCTACGCGCAAGCGAATCATTGAAATAAAATTGAAATATATATTAGTCCCGAAATGACCTAGTTTGTGTCGAGTGTACGTTAAATCACATTTTTCTCTCTCCACTGTCCATATTAAAACAGTGAAAATCTATAAATAAAAGGAAATGGTGGGAACCCCAGTGGTCTGCATCCATTTGAAATTGCGTTTAATGGAGTTGTCTCCCTTAACTTAATCTTGTTGAAGCAGGTTTTCTAACCAACTTAATCTTAATCATTTTGATGTTAAAATACTTTGATGGTTGTCAGTAGTTGTGATCAGGTGAAATAGACGAATGTCCTGCTCATAGATGTCAGTTGGTCTAGACGTAAAAACAACAATATGGCGGGCTTTGTGTTTTAGTTCAAGATTTAAATAGATTTGATGTATACAAACTTATATAATATCTATACAAGAACTCACTTACTCAGACATATTGATCTTCTTAATTATAATATAACAATCTTTCACCGATGATTTGTGCAAGTTATGACTCTAAAACAGGGGGCGAGGCTGGTCTAAACATGTACGGTAATATTTGTTGGAGAATCCCCTTTTGGGAAAACCCGACTATTTATAGTAGCTGATTCAGTTATATTGTAGTCTAGGTTATCAAGTCACGTGTGTAGATCAATTCATACCAGTTTATTATGTCTAACGTCGATTACATTGAAACCTTATCATCTGATACCCATTGTCGTTCAATTAGATATACCCACTGCCTTGCCCAATAGCACCTATTGAGAATTGAGGGTGCATTTAACGCGAATAAAACTGGGTCTAACTGACATGACGTCCGAGTTAGTTTTAAATTATTTTGTGGGATAGAAATTTAAAATACAACCGTACTGGGACCTAAACGGTCAGCAAAAGGTCAGCACCCTAAATGATTACATCAAATACTAGGCAATCAAACAGCCAAACAGATCAACGTCCTAATAGTAAGTGCAGGGGGACTGCACCACACACAATTATACTAAACAAATCTACGGACAAGACACAATACACAGAAATCATAAACGAACGTACATATCAGCTGTGGGGGCTAGACGTAAGCGTCCACTGCGCTGTACAGTCCAGATACTGGGCAATCAAACAGATTAAATTGCTGGTTAAATTGAACCATACAAACAACTTAATCATTACATCCGCGTTTCTCAACCTGGGGTGAATTCACCCCCAAGGGGGGAATGGCTCGCTTCCAGGGGGTGAATGACCACACTCCCAGTATGGTCATATAAAGGTTGTGGAGTCCTATGAGAGGTGAAGTTGCATATTTCCTTGGGGGAGAACCCCCCCCCCCCCTCCCCAGACCCTCCTCGATAGGCCTCGCGCCTACGGCGCTCACGGTGACCGCCTTTGCCGGCCACGGCTGCGCGGTCAGTAACCTCCTCAAAACTCTGGGGGTAAATGAGTCGGTTGAGAATTCATTTAGGGGTGAACGGTGAGAAAAGGTTGAGAAACGTGGCATTACATCAACTACTGGTCATTCAAACAAATAACTGGTTAACGTGAACAACTAGAATAGTCTCTTTAATATAATCATTTTAATATACTCACTTGATCAGACATATTGATGACGTGATAGACGTGATCGATTACTTTAAAACACAAATACACGACTGTCTTCACCGATTTTGAAGCGCATTTGGCTCTAACATAAGGAGTAAGACTGGGTTGCATATAGCCCCTGATTGGATAGTCACATTTCTCCCCATAATGTGACACATATAACCCCTAATAAGGAATATTTGTTTGCAGAATCCCCGTTAGTAGAAACCCGTACACTATTTTTAGTAAATGACTCAGTATATGCATGACTTAACAACATGTTTCAAGGTCCCGCTACAAATAATAAGGACACATCTATTTTTTTTAATTCCCCGTGCACTATATTTTTTGTATGGTAAAAGGTGTAAATAGCTATAGGACCATCAAGACTGTCGTGTGTTAGATGGCTATTATCGAACAATCGAGTCTACCGTGTGTTAGATGGCTATTATTGGACAATCAAGACTACCGTATGTTATGGCTATTATAGGACAACGAGTCTACCGTGTGTTATGGCAGCCCGAATGTCCACCGCCGTTTTCATTAGCTTACATCGTCCCGTTTTCTAGAAATGACCTAGTTTGTGTCGAGTGGACGTTAAACCCCATTTCTCTCTCTCTCTCTCTCTCTCTCTCTCTCTCTCGGTACCTATGTCAAGATGGCCTATGTCAATTATTCATCACGATTACTGAAATGCGACCCACTGTATTTCCAAAAAAAAAAAAAAAATACAAGCGTTTGTTGAAATTGATATGCTACAATGAATGTAACAAAAAGCGAAAAATAAAATCTTTTATTTGATGATTGGTCTGAAAAATTGTATTTTTAAGATGTATTTCTATATTAATTAGTTTATTTGTTAATCCCGTAACGTTAATATGCACATGTGGTTCCTAACGTTTTCTTATGTGGAGTTCTCATTTCCCATCACTGCTTATAACTAAACTTTGAACTGCATTCCAATTTCATTTGATTTCTTTGAACTGGATTGATATGGAGTTATGTAGTTTATTTATAATTTTTAATACAACAAAGCAATTATTATCTGTACGAACAACTGATTAATACATTTCAGTGTAAATTATTAGCTATATGCACAACTGGTTAGCTATATGCACTACCAGAGTGTTCTAAAAGTTTAATTCATTTCAATGTTAGTTATATTAACAGTGGCCTCTACAGTAAATTTGTTATCGTCGTCCAGGAATCCTGTCTTTGTATCTTTAAATTCATCCATCTGACAGAAGACTGGATAACCAGGTCCCAAACCACCGGGTGTAAATGTGTAGGTATATCGCTTAATAATCGACTTGCTCTCGTCCTTTTTATTAATTAACGCGAGTGAATAACTAGCTGTACAAGATTCCACGGTATCATCGTCGTCATCATCATTGTCACTAACCAGATTCAGTTGAATTCCCAATTTACCCTGACCGGATGTAAGATGTATAACACCAATACGCCATCCCACATCCTGTATCATAGTGACGTCACTGTAATACGACTTATCTCCCTTCATCTCAGCCATGTTGAAAAACGCGGTAAAAGTTGACGAATTCTGTGAATCCGCCGGGGTATCCATCGCCATTATAAATAAAAACCCTAGAGATCTACTTGAAAGTTTCTTCCAATCGTCGGATATGCAATGTCTGTCTGTCTTGGTTTATTTTGGAACCTTTAGCGTAAAGTCTTCCGAAGAAATCCCGCGACAATGGTGTGAGTGTTACCCGTATTTCCTTCACAGAAAGTCCTTGATGAACTAATTTGTCTATGTTCGTTATCCAAATGATGTTAGGTTACACAACTTCTCTGTATTGTTCACCAGAAGAATGTACACTAATCTTCATCCATATGAAGGAAAATTAAAAAACTTGTCTTTATTCGTTATCCAGATGAAGGAACATTAAACAGCTTGTCTTAATTCGTTATCCAGATGACGGAACATTAAAGTCATTAAACTACTTGTCTTTATTCGTTATCCAGATGAAGAAACGATAAACCTGTATACCATAAACAGTTTTCGTTCTACTAAATACCAGTTACTCGACACAACATGATTTGATAAATTCTTTTCTTTAATGCGCATATCCCATTTTTAACTCTAACTTGATCAATGGTGAGGTTTAACACAGTCGATTGTACGCGGCTTGCATTGACAACCGTATACTAAACACATGCTGTCTGTCTATAACAGACACTAAGCTAGCTGACCGACATTTTAATTCCTAAATCGACGATTTTGGTCGAAAAATACTAATTATAATTCACAAATTGTGAGCAATAATTATTTCGGTTCCATTTAATAAAATAGAAAATCTTTATTTAGTCTTTGTGTGTATTGCTGATGTGAAACGGGGTAAAACCGCTTTACAAAACAGTATACTGATTTTAGATATGATGGCCATTCAGGGCAGATATCTTTTCTCGAAGTATTTAGTTCACTGTTGTCATGTCATGTTCGCACGCCCCGTTGCCTAACCCGCGTCGTTATTTAACCTCCCTATTGTCTGAAAATGTATGTATTAGACACTGCATTATCTACTGAGGTGTGCTATATATTATACCTGTCATTCTGTCAAATGTCTTTGTATTAAAAAATAATAGTAGTATAATAGAAATTCAATGATATACTGTAATGAAATCCTATTTATAAATTCTGTGTGTATAGATATTATTATGTGTAGAATACAACTAGCTAAATGTATTACCTGTGTGGAGCACGTGATGTGATATCATAACAAACCACCCACAATGCGCGCTGTGGGGAGAGGGGGGGGGTATAGGGTTATGGTCACTCTACTTGTATACAACGGGTCGTTCGGATGGGACGAATCGCAGAGGCCCAGGCATGTGCTTATTGCCGTGTAAGTAAAAGAACGCGTGGACAACGGAAATCAATCCGGGCAAATAACTTCCCCTACTGAGTTTTGGATTTTAGTCTCAAGTCGTTCGTGGGGGTGGATGGCCAAATGGTTAGCGCGTTGTATCATCGTTGAGTCAACTGGCGGGGTTTCGATTCCGTGGATGCGGTTGTATGTGACAAGGAGTAGGGTCGTCTGTCCTACCTCGTTGGTTTTCTCCGAGTCCACCGGTTTCCTCCCATTGCTAAAGACCCCTACGCGCAAGCTAATTATTGAAATAAAAATAAACCATATGTTAGTCCCGAAATGACCTGGTTCGTGTCGAGAGGGCGTAAAACCCCATTCCTCTCTCTCTCTCTCTCTCTCTCTCGTGAGGTTTTACGTCCGCTTCCACCTAGGGTGATGTCGTAGACAAGCTTTGTTGCACGTGCTGTATACCATAGCAACAAACTCGAACGTCCAGGCACTCGGATCCTTCACTCTTCAACGCAGCGTGCTATTCAGGCCTCTAGAAAATTTTGAAATTTGTCAATTCCGAGAACGCTGTTTAGAGCGCCTCTAGCATTCCAAATTCCAACATAAAATCCTTTAAAATACAAATGATTATTCACAATTTTCGTATCATGAGCAATTCATCTGGCCAAGGCATGCACTGATAGCTGATAATGAGAGTGCGAGAGCCGGCACGCGACCGACCAGAGACCAATTACATATCTATCATTTAAAAATGAATAGACTAGTAAAAATGTTGAAAACTTTCAAAATTAGGGCATGGGTATACATGTATAACCCAGAAAAGGGCAGGGTACCATTTGTATACCCTGTTACCCGGGTTCCGGCGCCCCTGGTTAAACCCCATAATACAGTAAAATTTATAATCCTTGCGTGGCCTTTAGTGATTGAGTACATTTAAAGACACAACACAGTTTATACTTGATAACGACAAGAGAATACTTGTTGAAACGTCGTGCTATATGTGTATAAACCAGTGATTGTATTCCATATAAACTGTGTTGTGGTTTTTTTACAGTAAAATTTGTAGTTAACTTATTTTGATCACCATAGAAACATACAATATATAAATAACACCTCAACGTTGACTTTATCTATGGACGTATAATTTTAAAAGAAAGTAGACAATTCAGTATGTAAAATGAGTTGAAACCGAAAGAATAGGGAGGGGTCGTTATGCCATTACTCCTACAACCTATCAGAAAATCCAAGCTCTGGGTCCAAGAAACTTGTGTTACGTTATACACAAACATTTATCATCACTTAAGGAATGATCTATCCGACAGCATAAAAAACTCTAATTCTCAAGATAGTTAAAGATACATTATGGGAGATACGATAAAGGGCTGGCAGTTCTCACACTATAATATTTAAAAACTAGATAATGTATAGGGAATTAGCTGAAAATTTCAGTCAAATTGATCCACTATGAACCGAGAATTAAGCGATTGAAATTTCGGCCTAGCCTCGATCATCATTACTAAAAGTCTGTACGATAAAAAAAACACAGTCTCGATCATACATTTCATGATTACATTATGAATGGAAGTCGAGAAGCAAATGGGATCATAATCCAGTAAATACCATAGACTAGCGATACAAACGAGAGTTGATCATGGTCTGGATAAGTTAATTAATGTCTAATTAATAATTAAGATAACATTTCAGGCCTAAAGAAAGACCTGCAATTGGCAGATTTAGACTTTGCATAATATATGTTTAAAAAAAAAAATCACTAAAATTGTATGCCTTTCAAAGGACCTTCACGAATTAATTAATCATTAATATACTATATTTATATGTATGTATGAGAGTGTGCCGTCTTCATTAGCCCAGTTCGGAGCAGAACAGTAGGACGTTAAACCCCATTTCATTTCATTTCATTATATGTATGTACATAATACATTATATATTTTATTAATTGTACAGTAGCACTGAATGTATATATTGCAGTAAATGAGCGCTATATTAAATTTAGTAAACTTAAACTTTAACATCAAAACACAATTTTATTTTAAATAATTTTTGAAGATACAAGATGGTAAAAAAAATCTCATAATTAAATACAGATCTACTAAAACATAATCAAAATACTATGTACATAAAAACAAACCCCGATATTTGTATAAACAATTTTCATAATCTAGTGTGGCAATCATATTTTCTTGTACCTGCAATTATCACGGTGATTGGTTAACGCCGAAGATGTCAAAATCTGTATAAACAATTTTCTTGTACCTGCAATTATCACGATGATTGGTTAACTCCAAAGATGTCAAGAGATAAAACAATCTACAGCCTTGACAATAGCTGTGTTTTCTTTCGCCAAATTATATTTGCGATAACTGATCGCTGAATTTCAGATTACAGTGTAGATCGATATCCGTAAAAACCTGAAAGAAGAAAAAATAGGAAATGAAATAAAATGGGGTTTAACGTGCTGCGTCTCTGTCTAATCGAATTCCAACTGTCAAGGGCTCTTTTATGTATACACTCAACGATAAGGGGGTGTCAGGATGGGGTATAGGTATACTCCTAGTATTCAACGTCCTACACCTACACCTAATCGAATTCTAACTGTCAAGGTCTCTTTTACGCATACACCCAACGATAATAAGGAAGTGTCAGGATGTTTAAAAGGCGTATGGCGTTATTATTTGGGACCTTAGAATAGACGAAAATGGGTCTAAAAGCACATATAAATGTAATATGAATTCAGCCTATAAAGTTATCTTCAAATTTGATTTTTTATTGTAATTTCTAAAATTATGTTCGGTGGATTTTTTAGAATGCAATTCGAATATCAATGATTATACAAAGAAATTCCATTCCGACTAGGGTTTTATTTGATATTGGTCAATATGTAAACATCGGACAGAGGTTGCCCGTCTGGATTACCCACCCTTCTTTACTGGACGTTTTCCAGCATTATTTCGACGTCCACCTTCGGCATATTCTGTTTCTGCTTCAAAAGTATGTGTTGCAGTACCTGCATTACCTGGCTCAACAGTGTGAGACTCTAGCGGGTTGCGATCATACGACATCTGTTGGTGTGCGGCTTGACGTTCTTCTTCTTTGGAATGGTTAATCTCTTCTGCAGCTTCTTCAGCATCATCAACATCATCTGGAACATCAGGTTTATGACTGGACGCGGTGGCTGACTTTGATGTCGGAGCACCGTCTTTAATGTAAAAAACGAAGAAAGAATTACTGCACAAGTTGCACGTACATGCGCCCACCCCGCGACCACGTTCAGGCGCCCACCTCGCGAACACATAGTATATGATGTAAAGTGTTGATAACTGTCTTCAAAATAAATAATTCATTTACAAAAAAGACCATTTTATTTGAAAAGGCCAGTGTGGTTTTTGTTTTCTGGGAAGAAGCAAATTGGGTTCACTGAGTGGAAATAACAGTATGAACCGATTGTGTCTTTAAATGGAGTTATCTCCCCTTTCTTTATGGGCATTTTGCTTTTGCTATAAAATTTGCATTTGGAATAATTACACTGAAATAAAATGTAAACTGATAAGAGACCAACATATTATATCTGGCAAGACAGAATATAGGGAACATACAGGGAATCATAAGATTTGTGCTCTTGGATGCAAAAAGCTACCCCGCCCCACCTTATCCGTCCTCAATGCATTATTATATCTGGGAAAGACAAATAAACTCGTAACCGGAAAACACGTAGGGTGGTGCTAAAGACAGAATATGGGGAAGATATTTTGAAAGTGTTAGTCATATGGTGGGTGCTCTTGCAGGCAAAAAGCTACTATACCGCCCCCACCCCTTTAGTACTTAACACTTATATTAATCATCAATAATGCGAATAATACGACTGAGTCGCTAGGTTATCTAATGTAATAGATAGACAAACATATGTAATAATAACGGCATAATGATGGAGGTTTTATTTGACTTGAGAGAATGTAACAGTCGGCGTAAATGCGTGGGACGTTAAACCCATTTTATTTCATTAAGAATAAGAAAAAATATTTAAAGACATTGATTCCGATCTACTTCGGGACGAAGCGTTAATAAAATGCATTGGGGTTTAACGTCCGACTGGGTAATGAAGACGGTCATACGCAATACAATGGGCTATCGGGGAAATTTTTCCGGGACAGCGGCGCTGGGGCCTACTCTTATATTGAATTCCAACTGCCAAGGGATATTTTACGTGCACTTCAATGTGTACACGGGACCTTGAATTTTCGTACCACCCGAACGACTAGACAGCTGTCCTTGCCGGGCCCTTCGTCTTGCTGACAAGGGGAACCACACTGGAAAATCTCTATGGTCTTTTTGGCCAACACCGGGAGCGAACCCGCGATATCCAGGCTAGCGAACCAGCGCCCCACCTATCGTGGTGCCAGCGTTGACAGAGGGATACGAACCGTTGATAGAGTGATACGAACCGTTGATAGAGTGACACGAAGCGTTGATAGAGGGACACGAAGCGTTGATAGAGGGACACCAAGAGTTGATAGAAGGACTCGAAGCGTTGATAGAGTGACACGAAGCGTTGATAGAGTGACACGATCAATACAAAATAAACCCATGTTCGTCTTTTATTCCGTTACACAATAAACAACCGTACCTTGATTTGGGTCTTTCTTTGCTTTATCTAGTTGAGCTTTGTGTGCTGCTATTTTTCTCTGATTGGTCTCATATAAATCGTTACTCTGGTTAAATTCATCAATAACTCGAAGAGATTGTGAGTCATCCAGGCACAGGATACGAGATTTAGGTTTGGGTAAGGTGCTTGTTAATGTTGCGATGATTCCTATAATCTGAATAAACAATAGATGAATTACAATAGAAATAAAATGGGAAATGACCGTACCTATAGTCCGCACTAACCAGAACAAAGAAGAAGGGCAGACACCCCGCAGCGTGCTGTCATTCGGTAAACCTCGACATACACGGGTACCCTACATCTAACCATGACTGTATGACGGTGATATGTAGCTATACACATACAGTTATGATGCGGCGGCTGTCGGTTTACTATTAGGAAGAATGACCGCTTTTAGAAAAAGGTACGGCTTCGTTCGAAAACGTAATGTAATGTATTGAACCAACACACGGGGTTAAGGCCCCTCGTCGTCAACACACGGGGCTAAGGCCCCTCGTGCTGTATCGATATATTATTTAATGTCTCGCTCTAGACCATTAAACACCATGTATTGAGAGACCACTATTTGTAATAAAATATGTTTAAATCAATCCATTACGTACCTGGACAAGGCGACAACGAATTACCGCCGTAAAATTGTTATCCATTACTTAACCACCCCCTCTATACGTGTATAAACAGGTTTACCCATTACCTAACCACCCTTTCTATACGTGTATAAACAGGTTTACCCATTACCTAACCACCCTTTCTATACGTGTATAATTTACCCATTACCTAACAACCCTCTCTGTACGTGTATAAACAGGTTTACCCATTAACCACCCTCTTTATACGTGTATAAACAGGTTTATCCATTAACCACCCCCTTTATACGTGTATAAACAGGTTTACCCATTACCTAACCACCCTTTCTATACGTGTATAAACAGGTTTACCCATTACCTAACCACCCTTTCTATACGTGTATAATTTACCCATTACCTAACAACCCTCTCTATACGTGTATAAACAGGTTTACCCATTAACCACCCTCTCTATACGTGTATAAACAGGTTTACCATTAACCACCCTCTCTATACGTGTATAAATAGGTTTACTCATGACCTAACCAACCTCGTGTATAAATAGAATTACCCTCACTGATTGCCTGACTACTCCAGATTCAGTATAAAGTTCTGTCATTAGTCTATCATTCTTAAAATGATCACACTGCCTTATATTTGTCTGAACTTTTGATAAACTGCAAACCCAAATGTACTCTAAGATCGCATAAAACAATATGCTTGCTGTTCCTAACACAAAACTTAAAAACAATTTGGTGATAAAAGTTTCAGCGCTGCTGCAACTCGCCTTTGGGATCAGTTGCCACAACACATTCGAGAAACTCACAATTTTTAAGTCATCTTAACCCCGCTTCAATGCGGTCATAGTCATGCGCAATTATTTCCGTTATAAATCTATTCAAGATGTTAGTTCCGAGTGGTGTATTATTAACTTATCGGGACTCCTCGGTGATTTCCGAGAGTAACCGGGTGTGATTTACTTACCTCAAGATTTTCAGAGGAAATAATCTTTTGTACTTCTTGAAACTTCATTATAATATCTCTAACTAACTCAACAGCACTTCCATGAATAAAAGAAATAGAAAGTATAAGTAGTTTGTCTCACTTTCCTTATCTTTTTTGGGAGATGCTAATTGCAGGCCGGTTGGAGAGGTTCGGGTGTTTCCGGAGTCCAAAATGGACGCTTTATATACATGAGAATTTTAGGGAATATTATAAACCTGTAACAGTAAATCTCTTTGATCTTTGGGGTATATTCTATGCCCAGAATAACTTGAGGTCTGAAAGTCGGGAGCGGCTTTGGATATATACAGGGAAATTTGGGGTTATTCTTCTGAAAGTTTTTCTTTAAACCTGTAACGGGTTATTCTTTCAGGGTAGGTTTTTTCCCATAATAAAACATGATATAAGGTTTTTCTTACGGGAATTCTGGGTTATTTTAATCATAAACGGTTTATAAGCAAGATAAAGTCCTCGACTTTGGTTATGCTGGGGAAGAAAGACTTCAGAAAAAAAAACCCTCGACAGAAAAACCTCGGCCTGGCAGCCTCGTTTTTTCTTTTTCTCGGGTTATTTTCTTCAGTCTTTCTTTTCCCAGCATAACCTCAGTCTCGTGCTTTATCCTACACCTAACTCTAACCCTAAATCTCCCATCTTTTTATGTCATAGGCACGGTGGGCAAATGCCCTAGAGGGGTGGATGGCCAAATGGTTAGCACATGCGCGTTGTATCATAAGATCGGTCATTGAGTCAACTGGCGTCGTTTCGATTCCCCGGTTGTACGTAACAAGTAGTAGTGTCGTCTGTCGGGTTTCTCCGGGTCCTCCGGTTTCTTCCCATTGCTAAAAACCCTACGCGCAAGGTCTGTCACTGAGTGGCGTTGTTTCGACCCGATGCTTGTACGCGACCGCGTATGTTTTCTGATAAAGACGCCTACCCGCAAGCGAATTGCCGAAATAAAATTGAACCATATGTTAGTCCTAAAATGACCTTATTTGTTTCGAGTGGATGTTAAACCCCCTCTGTCCTATCCCTCACCAACCCTGCCTGTTGATTACTAACCACCAAGCAATCCAACGAAACAAAACGTAAGATCGTTACAGAGCAAAATGCCACAGTACATGACCACGACATGACCACGACAAATTAAATCGAACATTATCTCCACCGTCAATCTGAAATGAAATGAAATGGAGTTTAACGTCCTACTGTTCTGTTCCTAGCCTGGGCTAATGAAGACGGGCATACGCCATACAGTGTGCTATGAGGGAAATTTTGCCCGGACAGCGGCACTACGGCCTACTCTTATATCGAATTCCAACTGCCAAGGGATCTTTTACGTGCACGCCAATGTGTACACGGGACCTCGGTTTTTCGTCCCATCCGAACGACTAGACAGCTTTCCTTGTCAGCCCCTCCGTCCTGCATCACTGACAAGGGAAAACCACGCCGGAAAATCTGAATGAACTTTCTCGGCTAATGCAGGGATCGAACACCCGACCTCCAGGCTAGCGAGCTAGCGTCTTACCCACTTAGCCACGTGACCCCCCACCGTCAATCTGATTAAAATACAGATCTATATTTCGTTTCGTTTTTTTTATACTTTTAATGGTCTACACTACATGAAGACCTGAACAGTTGTACTGGAAGGTCACATCAGACCCTATGACATCGGATATTGATTAATCAATTAGCTTTGACGTCTGTAGTGGTTTACCCACAGTTCCGTGCATCGCACGCCAAGAAGTCAGAGTAACATATGGTTTCATTGGCTAATTTCTCACATCAGCCAGAACGCGGGTTATGTAACAACTCTTTCAAATCCTAGTGTATTAAAGACAAATAATATAAAAAAAATTTTAAACAATAAGAAACGAAATAGGATCAGTGTTTAAATCAGATTGCTCCACCGTTTGCCTGTGATCTCCAAATTTACTAGAATTTAAAATAAATTGCATACCCGACGTTCATATCATGTAATCTGGTAGCAACATTTCCTGATATCATCTCCAGGGCTCTATCTGTATCTCGTAACATGAAGCGAATCTGAAACCAAACACGTACACATATCAAACATTTTCTAACATCAACCGTTTATCAATTTTAGCAGTCAAATAATTCAAAAGTAAGAGAACAAGGAGAAGAAGAATAGATTGTATATTGTTACATCAAGAATACCTTGCACCATACACGACACTCGTCACTATCAGATAATGCAGTGATACTTAGCACCGGAGTTCGCCTTGGCATTTCAGAAGCCGTGCGCATTTCACGGATGTATTGACCAGCACCACCATTCACCTAGTTATCCTGTAATCAGACGTTGTTGTTGACCTATAACATATGAAGAGCCCCGGGGGAAGAACGATCTAAGTCACTTTTTCAACATACCCCAGTTAATGGCACCATCTGGTAGCAAATTGTTTAAGCTTTCTGTGGAACAATCAATTTCAGGTAAAAACGATCGGAGTCACATCGAACCAAGGCCTTTATTTAACCTTAATTTGCCTGAAACGTTGCAGTCAGTTGTACTGGTAATTATGATTCGTATTAAACAACATTTTGAAGTTGTAATTAAACCCATTCGCTGTTCTGTTCGCGTCAAGCATTCTCGTGCAAAAGTCTGTTTTGCCTTTTATGCGAAAAGACTAAAATGTGACTTAGATCGTTCTTCCCCTGGACTCTTCATATGCGTCCTTCATGTTGTGTGGCCTTAACTAACACGGGCTAATTTCCAACTTTGGTTCGTCAGACGGAAGTCTAATCTAAGAAATTTTTTATATACTATAATATTAATGGGTTTCGGAAAAAAAATACAATCTGATAAGAAACAGAAATCGAATGAACATCCTCTTTTTTTCTATTTTTTATTGATTGACTAAAATTATCTGTACTTGGTTTGAAGTGTATTATATAAGATTCTTAATTGACCTCGGCGGTGATAGAAGGTCGGCTAGATCATAGTCTAAAAACAAGTTTTAAAATAGTAAACTTATTTTAATTATCTAGCTTGAAATTGAAATTGAAATGCAATGAAATGGGGTTTAACGGCCTACTGTTCTGCTTCGACATGACTAATAAAGACGGACATACGCCATACAATATGCTATGAGGGAAAATTTGCCCGGGCAGCGGCAATGCCCTACTCTTATATTGAATTCCAACTGCCAATGGGCCTTTTACGTGCACGCCAATGTATATACAGGACCTCGATTCTTCGTTTTATCCGAATGACTAGACAGCTGTCTTTGTCAGGTTCTCCGTCCTACCCCACTGACAAGGAGAAACCACGTCGGAAAATCCCAATGAACTTTCTCTGTCAATGCAGGGGTCGAGCTTGAAATTGACGATTAATATTTACCTGTTCTTCTTGTTGTCGAGTTATTCGTTCTCGCTTTTTCATATCCTATATAAAGTGAAGAAGTTAGGTTTTTTTTATTAAATACACAGATCGATCAAACAGGTGTAAGTGTAAAGAAGTAGGGAGTGTCTTGGGGTTTTCTCGCTACTGCTAAAGCGCTATGGGCGCAAAAGAATTATTGAAATAAAATATGAATCTGTTAATTCCAAAATATGAATCTGTTAGCCTTAAAATATTAATCTGTTCGCCTCAAAATATTGATCTGTTCGCCTCAGAATATTATTCTGTTAGTCCCAGGTTGCGTTTGAACCCGGGACATTCTGGTCAGTAGTCCAGCGTCTGTTCGACTACTACAATGTTATTACCTGAATTGTTGAGGATACAACTAGCCTTACCTCGTATGTCGCATGCATAGTTTTATTCTCTCCTAATTTCTGCTCCAAGTCAGCTAATAATGCCTATAAAAAGACAATGGGATAACATGGCTGTAAGATCTGGGATTACGTCACTGTGTAAGATCTGGGATAACATGGCTGTAAGATCCTAGATAACGGGTTGTGAAATATAACATGGCTATATGATCTGACATAACGCGGCTGTAAGTTATTGATAACGCGAATGTGGGACCTGTGATAACGTGGTTGTGAAATCGGGGATAACTGGGCAATGTTATTGGAGATGCCATGACTGTGAGATCTGGGATATCGTGGCTGTGACCTCTGGGATAGCAGGACTGTGAGATTTGAGATAACGGGGCTATGAAATATGGGATAAGGGGATATGAAATCTGGGATAACGGGGCTGTGAGATCTGGGATAAAGGGGATGTGAAATATGAGATAACGGGATATCAGATCTTGGATAACGGGGCTGTGAGATCTGGGATAAAGGAGCTGTGAGATATGAAATAACATATCTCCGAGATCCGGGTTAATGGTACTTGAAATCTGGGCTATAAGATCTGGGATAACGTGAATGTGAAATCTGGGATAAAGTGGCTGTGAAATCTTGTATAACGGGGCTGTGAGATCTGGGATAACGGGGCTGTGAAATCTGAAATTTCTCTGAGGGTCAAGATAATGCGAAAAAGCAACGTGCTCTTGTAGGACACTTAATTTTAATGAATGGTGAAAATTACTGGTTTGATGAAAAATTACCTGAGTATCGGTTATAACACGACTGTGAGATTTTAGACGTGGAAACAAAGATCTAATTAATCCTTCCGCTACACTCAAAACCTCTCCTTGGTCCTAAAACAAAATAGAACAAATCAGATCTTGCATTACATTATTTTTTGGCGTGGGGTTTAAAGCAACTAAGTCTCTAACTACGAATTATTTGTCAATTTAAATCAGCATTGATGTTGTGATCTTACGGGGAAAAGATTGGCTTCTGATATCCAATATTTAAGAAAAAATAAACATTTTACACGAATTTTGATAGGAAATGGGCGCTATATGCTACTGTTGAATAAAATTCCAACTGTCAAGGATTCTTTCACGTGCATGCCATTGAGAACACGTGACCTCGCCGGAAACCACGCCGGAAAATCACGATGAACCTTCTCGGCGAACCCGCGAACTCCAGGCAAGACAGCCAACGTCTTACTTATTGAGTCATCGTGGTCCCCAGTACTATAAATGAAATGAAATGAAATGGGGTTTAACGTCTTACTGTTCTGCTCCGAACTGGGCTAATGAAGACGGGCATGCGCCAAACAGTGTGTTATGAGGGAAATTTTGCCCGGCCTACTCTTATATCGAATTCCAACTGCCAAGACATCATTTACGTGCACACCAATGTGTACACGGGGGGACCTCGGCTTTCTGTACCCTCCGAACGACTAGACAACTGTCAGGCTCTCCGGCATGCATCGCTGACAAGGGGGAGTTCACGCCGTCTCCAGCACTATAAAAAGTTATAAGAGCTTGTAATTTATATACAATTCATCAGGATTTTCTCACTCTGGTTACCACTTATCAGTCTTAAAGCCTAAAGGGCCCGACAAAGAACAAGTGTCTAGTCATTCGGATGGGATTAAAAAAAACAAAGTTCACTCGTTGGAATCGGTGACAAATATAGGCGGAAACGCTGCTGCCCGGGCAAAATCGAATTTTCTAAATGAAATGAAATGGGGTTTAACGTCCTACTGTTTTGCTCTCCTTGTCAGACCCTCCGTCCTGCATCACTGACAAGGGAGAACCACGCCGGAAAATCTGGATGAACTTTCTCGGCCAATGCAGGGATCGAACACCCGACCTCCAGGGTAGCGAGCCAGTGTCTTACCCACTTAGCTACGTGATCCCCGAATTTTCTAACAAACTACTGAAAAATTCCGGGATCGAACCAAGAACCTCAGAGCTAGAAAGCTATCACCATACTCACTGAGACACCGTGCTTCCGAGAATAGGTATGAAAAAACACATCTAATAAAGATTAATTCTAAAGGCATCGCTATTTTAATTCTAACAGATAAAAAACTAAAATAAAACAAAATCCGAACCTCAAGACAAACTTTAAGTCTGTCTCGTTGATCCCATTGTGTAGGACAGAGTCCTAACATAGCTATATTAACATGACGATAGGCTGCTTTCATTAACCTCATCGTTTTAATATAATGTAACAAGGAATTGGTTACACGATCACATTGCATCTTCAAATAAAAAAAAAATATAAATATATATATATTATTACATGTTTGAACTGAAAGGTGAGAACTGTCCTTGGTTTTACAAAGCAATCTCAGAGAATCTGAATAAAATACATATATTTCGTTTCATTTTTTTAATATATACTTCCGATGGCCTACACTACATAAAGATCTGACAAGTTATACTCGAAGGTCGTGATAAGGGGCGTACAAGCGGCTTTTGACCCTATAACGTCAGACACTGATTAATCAATCAGCGTTGGCGTTTCTAGTGGTTTACCCACAGTTCCGTGCATGACATGCCAAGAAGTCGCCGTAACAGACTGTTTCATTGGCTTATCCCTCACTTCACGCAAAATGCCGGTAATATAACAACTCTTTCGGATCCTAGTGTAGTAAAAAATAGTAAAACGAAATTTTGAACTATAGAAACGAAACGAAATAGGATCTGTATTTTAATTAGATTGATTTTTAGATACAAAGAACTATCTAATATACTATCTACTTCTTCGAGAATAGACCCCTGTCCTAAATGACCGCCATATCCAAACATTAGGACCGCCATATCCAAACATTAGTATACTGTTTTGTAATGCGGTTTTAGTCCGTTTCATATTATACACACAAAGACTACATAGTCTTTTGTAACCTTTTTTTAAATGGAAGCAGAATAAATACTGAACAAAATTCTCGAGCTATAAAATGTTTTAAACTAAATCGTCGATTTAGGACTTATGACGATCAACTAGATTAGTGTCTGTTCTCAAGCGGAGCTAATTGTTGACAGGCAGCCCTAGTTTAGTATGAATTTTACCGCGAGGAAGTAGCTGTGGGAAAATAAATCAAGTTGTTCTAGAAATCTGAGGATATGGATAGTTTATTTCTCCCGTCAAAAGGCAAAACCTAGTAACTCACTTTTTTTTTTTTTATCAAAATTGAGTTAGGACCAAATTTGTAGTTACTAGGGTATGTGCTTCCTGTTGTTGTAGTAGATATTCCAATCTTTTGATTTTGTAAGCAGTTACACCCATGACACTTAACCTCGCAACTTCCTTCATTTGCCTAGTATACCAGCAAAACCTAGTAACTCAATAGTCAAATCAATGGATGAGCTGGGGTTTAATATTCATTCATTACGTTTTCCTTTGTTTTGTCAAAATAAGAAAAAAAGTGAGTTACTAGGTTTTGTGTATGTGGTTTATAATATCAGTATTTTATGCTAGCACGGGGTTCTTTTGCATTAGTAACTGTCAGCTAGACAACCAAGACTAAAGATTCGATCGCGATAGATCTAATTAATTAGTAAAGATTTGATTAGCTTACAGCTTGATTGAAGAAAGCGTTAATAATTTCCGATGATTGTTTCTCGGATGTGGACTGAACTTTTGTGTCCGCCATTTTAAGCGAAAACAGCCTTATAAATCTGAAATAAATTAAAAAATATGATGTGAATTAATTAAACAGCGTAATATCAGATTTTAATATAGCGGGGTGGAATGGTATCACTGTCGAGATATTAAAACAAACAGCTGACACCATCATTGAATCAACCGACCATATTTGAATCAACTGAGATATTGATAGCGGGCATCGTGGTAGGTGCCACTAAAACCTAGGACAGACAAGTGTGTTTTTTCCATTGTTTGCGCCGATTGAAATTGCCAGCGATGATATTACAGCCGATCACGAACGGGCACATGTAGCGATCATCTGGAGAGCGTACGCCGCTCTGCGGATAAACTACGTCGATCATGTGACTTATGTGGCACCCATTTGAGATCATGTGACTCATGTGGAAACCATTTATGGGATATCATTGAGGTCTTCGATTGGCTTATAAAAATGGTTCGCTCAACAATACACGCAGGACACGGACAAACGAGCGGATTTTCCGGCGAAAGGTTCACCGAGCAGAATCGTCGTCACCTTGAACAGGCGATTTTATTTTCGAGCGAATGTTAAAAATTGGCGCGATTGGGCGAAAAAATACGCTTCGTAAATTTCATATTATTCACCACTATACACGCCTGGGCTGAAGGCCATTAAATGTCGGAGGCCTTAATTGTAGAGTACTCCGCAGACCATATTCCACAAAAACTTAAAACTGAAATATTTTAATAATTCGCGCCTTTCATTGACCAAGACCTAAATTTTATAAAGAGGGATTGTAACTCTGAACTAATTAAAAGGTTTTATTTTTATTTTATTTTAAACAGGCAGTATATGAGAGCTAACTCTGTCTATTGCAGGTCTTTACCTTAAATGTTGTATAAATTATTATTTAGACATTTATTGACGTGACAAGACCATAATTATTATTTAGACATTTATTGACATGACAAGACCATAATTATTATTTAGACATTTATTGACATGACAAGACCATAATTATTATTTAGACATTTATTGACATGACAAGAGTACACTCAACTATCTAGACTATTAGATGCCTTCGATTTTAAGTAGATATGATTTAAAGAGATCATCCCGATTTTAACAGTGTCTCAGAAATAAAAGTCCGGGTACGTATGAAATTTACCTGGTGTATTTACCTTGTCTCAAAATGTCAGCTCAAAATATTCAGTCGGTAGGACGTGAACGTCAAAACCGCTTTTCCGGACGCGAAACCCTTTTAAAATTTGAGGTAAATATTTTTCTTTGGGTAACCTGATAATCTTTTACCTTTCCTTTAGAGATCTATACAGTGCATGACCCACCTGCTGTACTTAATAACGAAAGGTAAGTTTCAACTACATGATATTTTTATCCAGACACCGTATAACACAGCTTGGGATACCGGCCTGCAGAT